TTTTAGAATTCGGGACCAACTGCCACCGTTCGTAGTAGGCGAAGACATAGCGAAGTATCTCGTCAAGTTCGAACACGTCTGTGAGCGAAACGCTTTGGAGCGGTCTCTTTGGGCGCGGAACCTGCTAGCTCTTCTTCCCGGCGAAGTGTCCGACGCATTAACTTGCTTGTCTAGGGAAGCGTTTGAGAGCTATGACGAGGTTAAGGAAGTGCTCTTGAGACGTTATAAGTTGTCACCCGAGGCTTTCAGGCAAAGGTTCCGGTATGCTGAAAAGGGGAATGAGTCACACGTTGACTTCGCGTTTCGTCTTAAGGCCGATTTAATCGAATGGCTCAAGGGCGAAGGTGTTTATGACGACCGCGATAAAGTGGTGGAATGCGTTGCATTGGAGCAATTCTACCGCTGCATCGAGGATAATGTCAGGCTTTGGCTGCAGGACAGACTTGGTGAAGTAAAGCTAAACAAGGCAGCAGAGTTAGCTGAGGAGTATTATACTCGCCGAAAGTTGCACAGCAGGGCAGTGCGCGTTGAAAAGGATGAGAGAAAAGAGGGCTTTTCAAAGAAACCTGATCAACGGACACCCGTTCCGCACCGTAATTTCAAAAAGGACCCGTCTCTTACGAAGGACAGTGTAGGGGAAGGGCAAACAGAAGCGGAGAAATCGAGTGAGGTTTCTACCACACAGGCATTCGAATCGGAAAACAAACGGAAGCCGCTAATCTGCTACAACTGTAAAAAGGAAGGGCACATCGCGAGAAACTGTCAGGAAAAATTTGCCTTCGCAACAATCCTAGAATCAGGAAAAAACATGCGGTTGTTGGAGCCGTATCTCCAAGAAATTAGGGTCAATGAGAAAACGTGCCGAGCACTTAGAGACTCAGCGGCAACCATGGACGTTGTCCATCCTTCATTGGTGTCTCCGGATGACTTCACAGGAGAATGCGCGTGGATTAGGCAAGTCGCCGAGGTGCAGAGTGTTCGCTTACCAATCGCCACGGTTGTCATTGAAGGCCCGTTCGGTAAGCTTTGCACCGAAGCAGCTGTGTCTGCCGCGCTAAATGATCGTTTTCCTTATCTCTTCTCCAACAACTCAGAGCAGCTTCTCAGAGAGCAGGGTAAATCGTTCTTCCCCAACTTAGCGTGCATGGCTCTCACGCGATCGCAAGCGCGAAAGCTTTCGCGAAAGCTTGACTTGGTTCCGTGCGGTGAACTCTCAAGTGACCCTGTCGGCGGGTCGACGGAACCCCAGAAAGGAAAGTTTCCGCATGAGTCATGTGAGCAGTCACGCGAGCGGCCCGTCGCCGAACCTAGCTGCGCGGTTTCCGGAGAAAGGGGAGACGACGTGGCGCCATTGAGTCAGAGCGAGAGGGTTGCAACGCTCTCGCCTGTAGCGGAAAGTTGGAGCGAGCCGCCGAGAGTTGATCGAGAGACGCTCATTCGAGGGCAGAGTGAGGATCTCTCGATTGAAGCGCTAGTGGAAAGCCAAATTGAAGTGCTCGTGGAAAGCCAGAAAAACGCGGCAAAAGTGCTGTCGAAGGAGCACTACGAGAAATCGGGGAAGAAGCGCGCTTTTGAAGTTGATAATCAGGTAATGCGGCTGCAGCCACCCAAAAGGAACAAGCTTGAGGTTGATTGGGAAGGGCCCGCCACAGTATATCGAAGCCTTGCGATACAACTTATGAGGTGCAAGTAGGAAGGCGGCAGAACAAAATTTACAACTTGATGAAACCCAATGTTCAACATCAAGCGGTCGTAAATCAGCTGTTGAAGGCTTCAGAGGAAGAGGGAGCAGAAAATTTGAGTTCTAGTGAGATAATCGAAAGGAAATCGGAAGTAATCCGGGAACAGTTGAACCTGGAGCCTAGCTTAAGTGAAGGAGGACCTGAGAAAGAGGACCGGAGAAAGATTGGTTCCGAGTTTGGAGACGTGTTTTCGGACCGCCCCGGAAACACGAGGGGGATCGAACACGATATCGAGCCAAGCGGTGAGGAGTCAATCCGTAGCAAGCCGTATCGTTGTTCCCATGTGCAACGTCGAAAGTGTGAGCCGCTCTTGGTGCCGCATAGGTATCGTCGCCTAAAAGTGGCCGGTTACTGAAGTGGAGCATGTTGCTCCACAGCGCAACTTTGACGTTCGCTACAAAAAAAAAAAAAAAAAAAAAGAGGGAAAGCTATACGCTATTGCAGGTGCATTGAGCAGTGCGTTCTAGCTAGTACCTTCTCGACCTTTCGGTTTCTCGCTGGCGATTCGGGGCAAAATTTTGACCTCATCACGACCTGGGCTGAGCGCTCTCGTTCAGAGTGATCTCAAGGGGCCAACTTTATGTGGTATTCTAATCCGTTGCGTTGTTGTACGTGAAAAAAAAATTGAGTTGTCATTTTAGGGGTCTTTTGTCCCACATGTGCCTCTTGATGTAGAGGGAACAAAATTCCGATAGACACGTAGATAGGTATATGTTGTACTGTACTTTGTCTGGTGTTCTGTCGGGTGACCGAAGGCACTTGCTTGTGTCGTGTGTTGTCTGTTGTCGAACCGTTCTTAGCAAGTTGCAGAACCATCGACAAGTGCTGAACCCGAAGATGGTCAGAAGAGACGAGTGAAGCTGGTCAGCAAGTTGTGATGACAAGCCAGTGGAGCTGGGATCCGTCGTCAAAAATGGGATGTGTTCCCGGACCAGTCTGGAGCTGTATTCTCCCCATGGCCCTGGAGGCGAACCTGGAGGGACCAGGCGAACGAGCGCACCTGACATCCGAGCCCCGTGGAAGCAGCTCGTCTTTCCGGTGCATTGTCTGGCGGCGGGGGTGCTGTTATGCCAGCGAGTCCTCGTCAAACGACCGTGCCTCTGAAAAAGGCAATCTGGGTCAAGGCCAGCCCGCCGTCTGCCCGACGCGAACATCTCAACGGCGTGAACACGCGCGGCGCCTCTCTCGCCCACGTGCATTGAGTCATCGGCGCACGTGACAGCGAGCCGGCGTTCTCGTGCCTGGTGGTCTGACGCATGGCGCGGCGACCCCCATTGGCGGAATCTGCTCTGACGACTTGCGGCGCTTCTGATTGGACATCTTGGTTGGACCCGGTGCAAATAAAAGAAGCCCTGCGGCGCGTCGCGATCGGCGGTCCTATGTGAGAGGCGTCCCCGTGTCGGAGTGCCGACATGTGTGTGAGTCAGCGGTTTTAGGCGAAAGGCTGACCTATGTGTTAGAGAGAGGAGCTCGGCTCTTCGAGTCTCTGCCGGCCCCAGTGCCGAAATTGTAACGCCTCTGTATATATGCTGTACATAAACCTTGTTTAACTCACCGTCGTCTCGTCCGCTCGTCTCCTCAGCTCTGCGCAGAAGCAGTCGCGAGCTGAGAAACATACGCTACCAAACGGCTGGTGACCTTCCCGGCGGGGTCGAAAGCAGTGGCGCCTCCGGGACCGCGTCGGCGTCGCCGTCTTTCGCAACAGTGGTGGCTTCGGCGGGATCGGTCCGCCGTTTCTCAACAGCCTATGTGCGTTATCTTGCGGGTGGCTCACTTTGGACTACCCAGTTATGTCCAGCGCGGTGATGAGGGCGCTGGTGACGGCGTTTTTCGCAGCGCCAACTGGGCAGTGTGTGACGTGTACAAGGAGGCGTCTGACACAAGTTTCGTGGCATAGCCAATCACGTAGTACTACCTAACGTTTTATGTGTGCAAATTATTCGCCAGTCCTGCACAATGGACGTGGAGTGTCATAACGTCACCTGTATTCTTCCGTTTCTGATTATAAAAAGCGCACCAATAACTAGAGTGAACGAAGATTCCTAAAACAATTCATGATGTTTTCTGTGTTCAACTTGCCGTTGGAATAAAAATGAGTAAGAAATAGGTCTGCACTCGACAACCAAGCTTAGTCCGGAAAGTTGCCGGTGATTTTCTTGACATATATAACACTGTTTTTGAAGTGCGGTATATAGACACCGAAGCCCCTTCAGAAAGCAAACAGATGAGACCAAAAATGAGGACGTATCTTGCTCTTACCTAAACATTATTGATCCCACATCACCCTTCTAGCCCACCCATGAAGCTGACCCTTGACACATCAACTCCGCATTAAACGAATTTCCGGACCATTCCAAAGGTCTTCCTTCTAGGTACTGATTAACCACGTAAACATAGCCTGCCACTTGCGCTTACGTAACAGGTCTCCAAGTTGAATCACCATTCTGGTAACGCTGTTAATCATTAAAGAGCAAGAGCTTTATGACCATGTCATGCAAATCAAAAAGTGGCATCGTTTGGAAACACGTGGCTTCCCCCCTTTTTTTTCTTTCTTTTTTTGCGTGACAATCGTTTAGTTCAAGTCTCATTACCTGTTTCGTTTTGTAAACAGGTTAGGTAAAATGCTTACGGTAAAGTTAAGGATCCACTTCTGCATAATCTGACACTTTAAACAAACTCTCAATGTTGGGCAGCCGTGCGAAACGACAAGATGCTCCTCCACCGCCTCCAAACACGAGAACAAGGACCGGAGACAATATTGACCCCTGGTCAGCCGGCTGAAAATAGGCCAGCGCGTGCCCTACTGCGTGTGCTTGAAACCATTCTGCAGCCTCAATTCGTCCATCGGTATATAACCGGTTCCAGTAAGACCATCAGGACATGTTACATTAGTTCTTATCGGCATCTAGGCGAAGCGTGCACCTTTTTTTGATATCACATTTCACATAGTGCGTCACTCACGCGTCTGGTGAATGGCGAAACAACTAACAGTTGTGACGCTCTTTGAAAGTGCAAGTCCAATTAAACCAGTGATACCGGGCAGTGATACCGGGACACGCAGGCATGACATAATGGGCTGTTCGCGATAAGGACCATAAACGGAAACGCAGTGGACATTGAAATGGCTTGTCTGTGAGATGTAGAAGATTGCGTAGGATAACAAATCATAAAATAATTTCGTAGCATGACGTCGTGCCGGCCAGTACCGCGCACATTCGCGCAAGACGTGAACTCGAAGCTGCACACATTGGAACTCACCTTCAACAGCCGAGGAGCCGTTGGCGTATCCGCAGATGCACGCGACCACAGCAAGCAGAACCGTCACGGTAGAACGGCGTCTACACTCCATTTTTTTTTTTTCGCGTCGGAACACTCGAACGTTGGCGATGATACACACACACACAAAACGATGTGGCTACGCGGTAGCGTCAAATTCCGGTGGACAACAGTGACAACACGCGAAAACCACCCGGCAGGCCGAAGCTCATGGCACACGGAACGGAGTCACCTTGTAATAAACCCACTGACCCGCAAGCAAACGCGCACACGGTGAGCACCGGCGACCGCAAGCGCACGCCGTGGACAAGAGGAGCGGCAGCTCAAGAGCGCGCGACACGCCAGCTGGCCGTCCGGAGAGTCAACTGCTTGCTGCTCCCTCTCGGAAGACGCAGCGAGCGGCCGGAGCAGCCGGTGGGAGCACCAACGGCGGTGCGACCACGCGAACCAGAAGCGGGACTGTTAGAGAGGGCGAGGAGGACGGGATGCAGTGGGGGGAGAGTGTTACGGGCCTGGGACCGGTCGAAACTCAAGGGCACTTGCGTCTACGGAACGCGGCGAGACTCGAGAGATGCCCTTTCAGAGCGGTGGCGCCATCGCTTGAATGGAGGCTGCACTGGCAGTGAATATAGGAAGGGCATTAAGCGATTCCGAAGGAGGCGTAAGATTTGTGGGAGATAAGATATGGAGTATATGGGGGCGGTAATTTGACAAAGGCAATAGCGCTGACGCAAAGCGCCCCTGGCCAGTTTTTTTGCCGCAACCCCGAATGTTCGGTCTAGAACATAGGTGACCTGCATATGGTTAGCCTATTTGTACACCTGTGGATTCCGTTATTCTAGTATATATCAATCAATAAAACTTCCGTTCATCTCGTGGTTAATAATCGAAGATTTTATAAATAATTTTTGCTATGTATGGCTTCTAATACCGATTATTCAATAAGTTATCTGATATTGCGGCTTTTTATTCTTCCTATCAACTATATAATTTAACAAGCTACATAGTGTCCACGTCGGCTGCTAATCCGAAGGTCTCAGGTTCGATCTCGGGTTTGGCAGTGGCATTTCGATGGAGGTGCAATGGTAGAGGTCCGTGTACTGGAAATTGTCAGTGCTCGTTAAAGAACACCAGGCGGTATAAATTTCCGGAGTTCTCCAATGCGGCGTCTTTCCTAATCACTTCTTGGTTTTGTGACCCCTCATAATATTATTAAAAAGCTCCATTTTGTGTACTTGGCTCCCCTCTCCGGTCTTGGCCAGCTATTCGCTCTGTGCGTTCCATTGATGAAAAAGAAAAGAGAAAAAGAATTTATTTGCAGAAAGGTAGAGAGGTCGGTCTGAGCTATAGTTTGCTCTGGCCTGCTACTCTACACTGGGGAAGGGTGACTGGGGAGTGAAAGAGTGATGAAAGACGATGGTAAGGTAGAGAGATGATATGTTCTTATTAGGCTGGGTAACTCTACAGACGTGCATCCAGTCCAGCGGCTTCTAAGAAAGCGATGACGGCTCGTATAACCACATCTGTGCTGCTGGCGTCAGGCCAAGGACCTAACACGACCTCATCGGTTAATGGTCGACTAATATATCGGCCCATCGAAGATGAAAAAGAAGGTGGCTATGCCGTATTGCCTGAAGGTGCGTTAAAAAAATGACACCATCTCCAGTGTTTTACGCTAACACTTCAACGAGACTATACGCTAACAATGTTACTGCAGCAGCAAAAGTTTGTGGATGACATTTTTCGAAAAAACAAAACGGACAAGAAAGAAAGAGAGCACCGATAGGAGCACACTAACATCTGAAGTTCATTTTCAGAAAAAAAAAACACGTATAAAGGGAAGGCAAGGACACGTTGTTACGATTACAGGTTGGCGTTTAGATAATCTATCTCGAGTTTATGAAGGTTCACCGATGGCCTCGCCATATAAACGTCACCGGACTTACGTATGAAAAAGGCCTCAACGATCTCTTCCGTGATCCTATCTTTCAGTCTTGACAACACTTCCGTTTCATTTAGTAAACGATGACATCCACAATCTTTACAATACAGGCTGAAATTAGAGGAAGGCTGTCCTTTCAGACAATTTCTGCGGTCCACTGAACGATTATTTAAACAGCGCCCGGTTTGGCCGATGTAACACTTCCGAAATTACCAAGGAATACGATAGACTACCCCATTTTTCCGATCAACGAATCTGTCCCGGTGTTCGACATCTCGCTGATTCCATTTTATCACCTTTGCACCTCAACTTTCCTTTCAACCACTGCACAGATACGACCTAGTTTGTTCTTGGCGGAAAATACTAAGTAAATCCTAAAACAACTCCACACTTTTTTCATGCGGTGAGAAAAAGCATGCACATATGTAATAATAACGGCTGACCTATCCTTACCATGAGACTCCAATCAAGTCAATCGACTAGAACAGCCCAATTATCCCTGCAAAACATTGGTCGTCCTCATTGAACGAGTATTGAGGAAGATAAAGAAGAAGGGAATGGGTGACGCTATGAGGGAGGCTCACGGTAATGATAAGCCTGTCATTAGTATTCCATATGGGCATGCTTTTTTCTCACCGCATGAAAAATGTGGGGATTCTTCTTGAGATTGACTTATAGCTTTTTCCTCCAAGAACAACCTAGGTCGTATCTGCGCAGCAGTTGAAAGGAAAGTTCAAGGTGGCAAGACGAGAACATGGAATTAGTGTGATGTCAAACACCGGCACAGATTGGTTGAATGTGAAAAGGGAATAGTCTGTCATATTCTACTATCCTGTCGGAAGTGTTACATCGGCTACACTTATGCGGCTGTTTAACGTATGTCTGTGCGTGCATTTGTACATACCACTAGCGCCACTTCGTCACGTTTGCTTCAATAAAAATACAACACAGTCACTTTCCATACGCGTGCTTCGCATAGCATCGATTCCCGAGGTACGTGGGATCTGCCCTAATTTATACGCATAGATACAGTACGAGACTCGCGGAGTCAAAAATCATGCTCACCGGGAGGCGCTCGCACTGACGTCTTATAGAATCCGAATACCCGAAACTTCTGTCTAATGAGGGTGCACAATGTAAGCACGGCTTACTACGTGGTCTAATCGCAGGCAGCGCAAAAGTTTTAACGAAGGACTGGCTGCGAATTTCTAATGCGACTTTTCTATAATGGATTCGGCGAATCTATAAGTTGAACTTGCGCCACTGTCGCTTCTTGCTCTTTCTACGAAGGGACGGCAAGCTTTATAAATCACCGCATGCTTAGTCCTTGCTCTGTGCAGTTGTACATTCATGAAAAAGCAAAACATTTGCTCGATTCAGTATAGGGCGTACATTATAAAGATATCGTAAGCGACGAGCCTTAGGACAAGAGTGCACCTGGGTATATGCAAATACAAAAATGGAGTCTTACTTCATTGTTTACTTTTTACTTCTTTCTCGTCTAGATCATTAAATTTCCACAATTACACTTCGTAGTCTATGTTTTGTTTCCTATTTTACAGCCGCCTGTGTATTGTTTTTTTTTGTGTGATACGATGTGGTGCTGCGAGCAAAGGCGTTCGAAAGAAATATCCTGCGAGCAAAGGCTTGTGTGTCTGTCTGTCTGTCTGTCTGTCTCTCTCTCTCTCTCTCTCTCTCTCTGTGTGTGTGTGTGTGTGTGTGTGTGTGTGTGTGTGTGTGCGCACATAGGCACAGAAGGTACTTTCTTTTTTCTTTCGTTCTTTCTTCCTTTCGTTGTTTCTTTATTTCTTTCTTTCTTTCTTTCTGTCTTTCTTTCTTTGTAAGGGTTCATAACTTTCGTGCACGGAAGCACAAACTACGCACGCATGGGCTTCAAAGAGAGAAAAGTACACGGTGAAATGAGACAGAACAACTGCCAAGTAAGGAGTGACCTTTAATGACCACCGAAAGCAATCGTTTTCCTTTTCCCAGTTTCGTCGCAAACGTCAGCGCAAAAAAGGGGCTGCTAACTAGGTCCACAAGAGCTATACATTGAAGCGATCCCGTGGTGCCCAGACAGTCAGATCTATTTTCTCTCTCTCTACTTCTTTCCTCCTCCTCTTCACAAAGTCACTGTGTCTATAAGTGTTAGGTCTGCGTGGTCAGGGAAGGCTTTCATTGGCTCTCACTTTCATCCTACAATTTTACACTCCCACGAACCAATTCTCCGTAGGGGCCAAGGCGAGTCGCTAACGTAATTGGCCGACGCTAATTAGAAGCCTCGATAACGCGCAGAAGCAGAGTGCAGATGATCGAACAAGCAAAAACGGTGTGAATAGGCGGTTCTCACTCGCTAGACGCGTTGTACGCGCTGTCGTTCGCACGGTACACTCTGCGTAACCGCCATTCTGACGGCGGCGGCGCGGCACGTATCCACCACCGATGTACTGTGGGAGAGCCCACAGCGTGCCGCGTAGGAGTTCGGCGTGGCCTTGCGTCTCGCTAGCTACGCAGGGCAGCCAACGTCACAGGCGGGCGAACCGGGGCAGTGCAGACGGGAGGGTGAATTGGGCGATTCTACCAGTACGCGGCCGTGGAGCGCGGCCCACGGTTGCGCCTTGAAACGAGGCCCACATCCGCAACGTCGGTCCAGCCCACACGTTTGGCGCCCTTATGCCGTTACGGGCGTACGTTCCAACTGTTGCGAGTGGAGGGAAGAAAAAGAAAAAACTGGATCAGCGGTGGCATTCAGGCGAACGAGAATATCTTTCGGGAAGAAATGAGAGGGCGTCGCGGTGAACTTTTTCTCTTTTTATTTTTTTGTTCGGGGGGGGAGGTCTTTCTTTTTTCTTTTGGTGTGATTCTCGCTCACTGCGTTATCGCAGTGTCGTGTCGTAACGCCCAATCTTGCGCACATGTTAAACGAGAATGATTAATGCGGCGTAATATTTCTGTTGCTCCGATCATAAACGAGCTTTTTCGATAACGTTCAGATTAAAAAAAGAGAGAAGTATTGAGAGCAAGTAGGAGTCACGTGCGTAGGAACCGCAAACAGAAATGAAATTGAAGTGAGGAAGATGTGGTCTACTTAATCTTTCTTCAAATTGATCGAACACGAGAGTACAAATGCCGTCTAATATAATTTCTCCCTTTTCATTGTTTCATCGAAATTTTTGTAATCCTTGGTAGATCGAAATTCGAATCCACGCTTTTCGCACGCCCAGGTTGTGCGTTTGGTCTCCACCAGTGGCGAGTTAATTTTTCAGCCACAATATGTTACTTTTCTTTCATCTGATAACTATCATACTTAAATTAACAACTACGAATGACACTCTCTGGTCTTTCCCGAGGTTTTATCATGTGTTTTCTTAATATGGTCGCTTTTAACGATCGACAGGCATTTTCCATGGCTCCTCGAACGAGGTTGGAGATTCAGGGTGGCCAAATTTTAATGATAGTGGGTTGGTATGTTACAACACCCGCTTAAAGCGAACATGACAGG